AGTCAGCTAGCTCACCATGACAGGGATTCAGAACTCACCAGAAAAGAGACAGATGAGAGATACCCACGGAGCAACACATCCTTCTCTCTGTCTCTTAAAGTGAATTAATTCCTGCCATTTTTATATCTCACGCTAAGCCCCCGAGAGAGAGAGAGAGAGAGAAGAGTAATAGTGTTTTGTGTCTGAAAATGCATCAGGAAGGTTTAGTCTCTGGAGGTTCTTAATGACTTCTGAGAAAAAAAGCATGTGATCTTTTAGCCGAAAAAGAGCTCAGCAATCTGCTAAACCACTTCAATACCCAACCAAGGCACCATCTGGTGATGGATGGACAGGCAGTATAATGAGAGAGCTCGTCGCCTTCTAAGAGCTCCCAGGGTTATGTAATATGTGGACCAAGCCACAAATAAGGTATAATCTGAAAATAACTATTTTTACTTTCTTTTCCCTTTAAATGTATGAATAGAAATAGTTATGTTTTTACGCCTTGTTGAAAAGTCAGTTCTCTAAGATTTCTGGTTACATTCAAATAATAAAAACATCCTCTGGTAAGTAATTTGAATGTCCAGCCTCAGGTTATAGTCCAACTTCCCAGCGTCCAGAGAATAGCCTTTCCTCTTCTCCCATCCCTCTCTTGCTAACCATAGTTTCTGACTTCTCCTCCAGGGAAGAGAGAAAAGGGGAAGTGGAAGCTTCATAGTTCATTTGTGCTTCAGTTAACTGCTGTCTGCTCACTAGGCATGTTAGATGTTTAAAGCTGACTCCTTCTTCCATTGGGTTCTTTCATAGATCTTTCCAAGAAACTTTTCTCCATCTTTTATTTCTTCCCCACATGATTTAAACTAATGTATCTTTACCCTGCATAGTTGCTTATGACTCCATTTACAACCCAGATTCCCCTTTCTAGAACCACACATTCTTGTGCACAGGCTCTAAGTCTACACCATGCCACCTCTTTCTAATGTGTAGCCCGTCCAGAAAATGGTCAGTTTTCCTCTACTGCAAAAAAATGTCCTACCCAAAACAGCAATAGGCTCTCATCCAATCTTGATATAGGAAGTTTGCTGTATCTCTCTCTCCCCACATTCAGGGACATATATCTCCTGAGTAGAATCCTTGAGGTCCCTCTCTTTTGAGTCAAGGTGAAGTGGAATGTACCACCCTATCCCTTTCTCTAGAGCATGAGGTGTGGGATGGGAGGCTTAGCTCTTTCCAAAGGATCTCTTCAGGAATTTTTATTTAAACCCTCTAATTCATAACTCATTTTAACATTTAATTAGGGAAGAATTTCTCAACCTCAGCACTATTAATCTTTTGGGTTAGATAATTTTTGTTGTGGTGTGATGTCCTGTGCATTGTGGGTTATTTAACAACACCCCTTGTTTTTACCCAATAGATGTTCTTCCCCAGCTATGACAACTAAAAATGCCTCTAGACATTGCCAAAGGTCCCCTGAGGGACAAAAGCATCCCTGGTTGAGAACTACTAAATTCAGAGAAGGGGTTTAAAGGTGAGCTAATTGGTTCTCTGAAAACTAGTTCAAAATTTTCTCATGGAGAGAGCTAAGATGGCAGAGTA